AAGTATCAAAACATAACAAAACAAAAAAAGATCAAACAATTACAAAAACAATGGAAAATGTTAGAAGCTCCAACGAGGTGATATTAGTATGCCACGTTAAATGATACAACCATGCAACTACAACGTTGAAGATTGTATAGTTAATTAATTAGGAGAATATATAAGACATTACTTAGGACGTAAAAGTAAACAACTTAATCATGGAGACTTCCAGCGGCTGTATTTAAAGATTGTATCAGTTTGTTAGTATTTGACAACGTGAGAATAAGATGTACTTATATATGCATAACAAAAAAACTATTAGTGAAGGGCGATAAAGAAAGAAATACTCCAGAATAAAAGTACTTATACCTCAGCCAGTGGACGGATGCACCCAAGGAGTATCAACCAACACCTCTTCGTCGGAAAATTTCATTGTTTAGCTCGGTAATGTTTAAAAAAATATGTATATATATATTATATAATGACACCCCTTAACTTCTTGGTGAGTTTGTTTCTTTATATTTTGATTCGCCTTAATGAAAATTCTAACTCTGTCACTGACCTCAGCCACGTTCGTGGTCTTTGTCATAACCTTTTTCAAAAATAATAATAATTTAGGAGATAGTGTGAGTGTCAAAGTCAAAATTTATGGCACATATTGTTCACTTTGACTAAATAGACATGAATTTGCGATTTATAATCCAAATTTCTAAACTTGTGATGTCTTATACAATGTTTAACTTTTCTATCTGTTATTTGTATGAGAATAATTTGTCTAGGTGTCATATACACCATTTTTCATAGGCTTACAATATAATTCTATATGTTTCTCCTTGACCTGCTTTCATGAGCCAGTCCTTTGTCATAAATCTTACATACACCCTCTTCTTAGGGAGTAAGAGTTTATTTTGCCAAGATGTCAAAAATGGCTTATTTGAGAAGCTAGAGAAGTACTTTCGGAAAAAACAACAATTTGTGTTTGACCAATTTATTTGAGGCATGCCTTTTTCACTAGTTGATAAACAGATTATGTTTGGTCAATTTTTTTAAAAAGTGCGCTGTTTTTGAGTATCAATTTACGAAAGAGGACAAGTATCAAGGTTCATTACATATATGATTATTTAAACAGAGAAGTTTTTTAAGTATTTATTATGAAAGACTTTAATTCAAAATTTCTATTTAATTAAAATAATAACCATTAAAATAACAAAGGCATATTAAAATATTTACTCAATATAAAATATAGTTAAACCAAAGCAATAATATTGAATATACTAAATTACATCAGTTAATAAAAATTAAAAATCCATTTCATAAATCACAAGTACGTTGATAATACTACAATCAATTTGAGAAGGGATCAATTACTACTAATACGTATGAATAAGGTCAACACTAAGAAATGACATTATAAAAAGATTTTAAAAAATATTAAATAAAATTTAATAAATTCAAAAGCAATAAAGAAATTACAATGTTAAAATTTCATCTTCCTTATTCACCAAACTCATATGGAGATCTAGTTGGATGGTTATACTCAATGCTTTCAGTTTAAATTATTTATGGTCGAAAAGGTTAATATATAACGAAACATTTATCTATAATGTTTTATATTCACAGTAAATTTATTAATTCTAAATCATGAATTCGTATCTAGCTAAATATATCTGTCCTAATTGGATATAATAAATTATATTGCAAAGTCTTATTGATTCTAAATCTTGAATTCGTATCGGGGGTAGATATATGTCCAATTTTCTGTCTTAATTGGATATACACAATACCATATTTACGTTGCATATCATCAGACTTATTCCAACTTCAATTCAGTACTTCATTTATTAGCAAAAGTCACCTGCCATCGCAAAATCACAGTTTTTCTTGTGAGTCTAAGTCATTTTGCAATTTGTGGCTTCTAATTAAAAGGAAACTCACTAAAATTAGTTTCTCCAAGTTTAAAATAATAATTATGTTGAGTACAATAATGATATTGTTCTACAAACAACTAGTAATGCGATAAGCCCAATTAATCATTTTGGGCACACCATTAAAAAATTTAAGAGTTCTAATGCCCCAAAGGATCGATCTTTGCATGCAGTAATTTTTGACATTATTATTATTATTATTATTATTATTATTATTATTATTATTATTATTATTATTATTATTATTATATTATTATATGATTTTCTCTCATTGGAAATTCAGTTAGAACGACTTGAATGAAATTGGTGTACCCCAGTTTATCAGATTTGACCACATAAAAAAGGAAATAGAGTCACTGTCAACTATGAATTGTGCAAAAAGTAAAGTTCTTCTAGAGGGATTTACAGAATTTATGGTCATATCAATAATTATTTAATTCTAAAATAATGCTCGTAGCTTAAAACCGTGTTCCAGTTGTATGGAGATATGGGTAAACTTATGTTGATGTAAAGTTTGATGTTTTATGTTTATTTTTTGTGACCTGTAATACACTCATGTAGATCAGTTGATGTGAAGTTATGCAACTAAAATAGACTCCACAAAATATTTAATTTCTTGTAAATAATTAATGGATCTTGAGTCTTGACACAAAATAGGGCTGCATATGGAACTTCAATTACAAGTTAAGTGTAATTGTAATGTATTTAACCTCATTTTATTGCATACTTAGTTATAGCCAAGCTTACTGTTTTGTTTTTTGATTTAATTATTTGATATTCGGTATCCACTATTCCATATAATTCGTTCGCGAAAGATTCATTTTCCTCCATTTTCAAAACTTGAACCTCTAACCAATCTTATTGTTAGACTATAAATTAGAGAACGTGACTAGTCGTACACATAAATGAATGTAGCAAAAGAAAGGTAAAAGATTACTACTTTTTGTTTCCATAAACGGGGACTTAATACAGAACATTCTTTTAATACAGGACACTGTTTGTTTAACTAATTGTAGCAAATAAGTGAACCTTATATCTGCCTTAGTCAAATAAATTGAGAAGCTAAAAGAGGTAATAGCAACAGTACAAAGACCAAAATTCCATCCCATTCCTTCCTTCCGAATATGACTCAAGGAAAGAGCTTAATTAACGCCTATGATTAGACCGAATACAGTCATTTGCCTTTTATATAGTATTAAAATAAAATGTATTTAAGTTAAAAAGATAATTTCGCAATAGTATTTTTTAACGTGTAATAGTAGATTAGTTATTATTTTTACAAAATTTACCTGAAATTATTTTAAAAATGACATACAACAACAATCGCAACAAACCTAGTGAACCATTTCTCGATTTGTGCGTGTCATCCTTGCGCAGGGGCCATGCAACAAACCTAGTGTAATCCCACGAATGAGGTCTGGAGAGGATAGTGTGTACTTAGACTTTATCCCTACCTTAAGAAGATAGCGAAACTGTTTGCGATAGACTCGACAGAAAAAGGTATTATGAAAATACTTTAATTTATACTGTTTGTGTATAGAACATATAAACGTTTGTACAATAACTTCCTCTTTTGTAAAACTCCTTTATTAGGAAATCTTTTGGAATTTTCATTTATTAGACGGTGCTGGTTAGTTCATTTTTCTTCTGCAATAGAAAACACGACTTATCATATTTTTCATTCTGGATAAGCTGTAGCCACCATATTATTAACAGAGACATCTCCATTGCCCTACACAAGAAAAGAAATAGAAAAAAGGTTCTTTCAGAATTGAGAAACGCAAAATAAATCTCGAAATTTAATTGATTAAATTTTCGGTTTACTATAATTGTGTATTATTTCCAGCAGCTAATGGAACTTAAAACGTATTAATCAAACAAAACCGTGTAAAAGTACAGCTTGCTTTTATATTCACATACTGAGAGAAAAAAAGGAGCAACTATATATGTTCAAACTCAATGGAATATTTAAGGAAAATCTAACTGGATTGTAGTCATTGACCAACTGATTTATTACAATTTATGAAAGAGAGAGGAGTACTTACATGAGTATATCTATACGTGTAGAGAGAAGAAAAAGAGAAAAAACCAATTTTCCGCAAGAAAGAAAAAGTGAAGCTTTTAATATATACAACTCACAATGTGAATAATTTTTTTACACCATTCAGTGGCGGAGCCAGAATTTTCTTTAAAGGATGTCAAAATATATAAAAGTTAACATACCAGAAAATTTAGGGGAGTCAATATATATATATATATATAAAACTTCTCCAATATAATTTATTTGTTTACATATAATTTACACAGTGTATTTTTCCCGCGAAGGGGTGTCAAAGGTGGCTCCGCCACTGATAGGGGCAGACCTAGTGCATAGACTACGCGTTCCCGGGAACCCAGTAACTCTTGCGTAGACCCTGTATTTATATTAAAAAATTCACTAAATATTGGTAAATATCTGACTGTGAACCCAGTTATTATTGCATATTAATCTGAAGTTACGGTAGGAACCCATAAGCCTCAAATCCTGGATCCGCCTCTGGCCACTGACACTATTGGTAAAGTTATTTCCATGTGACCTATAGATCACGAGTTCAAACTGTAGAATCAGCCATTGATACTTTCATCAGGTTAGGCTATCTACGTCACACCCCCTTAGAGTGAGGGCTCTTCCCGTTCTCTGTATAAACACGAGATGCTTTGTACACTAAATTGCCCTTTATTTATGAATTTTGAATTTGTGCTAGTAGGTTACTTATCATTTTTACCATATTAATAATTAACATTTATCAAGAGATTTAATAAAAGTTACCTAATAAGTGATAGTGTAAATATACTTTATAAAATCCATGCATATATCTTAACTCTTTTTTTTTTAATAGTATATCTATATAAGTAGAGACTAGAGAGACAGAGACAATTTTCCACAAGAAAGAAAATGTGGAGGTTTTAAAAAAAAATTATTTTATGGAAGGTCTTTAATAAGATTCCATAATAATTTTGCCTTTCCATGATGGGGATTGGTTGGTCTATACCGCACCTTCTTTTGTCCTGTTTGTTTCTACTTTCCTTCTATAAAATATACAGCACAATTCTCTTCTTATAAAACTCCCTCTCAATAACTTTTTTAGATTACCTTTCTATTGTTTTCTCTTCTTCTTTCCAAGTTCAAAGAGTGTGTGACTCAGAGAGAAAATGGACCAAATGGATTCTTTATGGAGTTATCAAGAGGTAGGAATTAAGTCATTCTTTACTCTCTTGTTTGGTTAATGTCTCAGTTCATTTCCTCTTCACCATTTTTTCTTCAGAATTTAAAGCCTTCTTAATTGTTTAGATTCATTCTATTCTATTAAATTCTTTTCCTCCTCCTCTTATTAATGCATCTTTTACTTCTTTTCCTCAATAAGTTTTCTTGTGTTCAATTCACAATCTCTTCATAGTGTCACTAATGATAATAATTCTAAATTCTCTCTGTTTCTTTGGGTGAAGGTTCTGAATATAAGTAAATGGTGTTTGAGTTAGATAGAGCGATTGTGAGAATTCATATAGCCGATCTCCAACTTGTTGGAAATGAAGTTTAGTTATTGTTGTTGTTGGCATAGTGGTTTACTGCAGTTTTTTTGTTGGGTAAAAGTGGTGCAATACCATTTTCTCCTAGTTGAGTACATATTTCTGTTAAGGACTTTCAAAAGTAGTAGTAGAATTTTATAAGTGTCCAAATAAATTTCAATTTTACAGGGCCCAATGCACCATATATTCTTTAATATAATAAAGTATCCAAAGGTGAACCATGGTTTACATTCACTTTTCTAATTTTATAAGTTTTGGAGTTGACTATATGTTTCATTACCTAACTCATTAGCCCTGTCTATGGTTTTACTATTACTCCTAACTTTGAATAACTTATTCACATAATAATAACTACTGGTTAATCAAATTCTGTTAAATTACATCCATGATATTTATAATCTTTCATGAGTGTGAACATGGCTAAAGACTTTGTTTCTGGAGGGGCAGCCGGTGAACAAGGCATCCCGCCTTCACGTAGGGCCCGTGGAAGGACAATACCCTAATGAAAGCATTAGTGATTGCTTCCACGGCTCGAACCATATAGGTCATACGTGGACAATTTTACGGTTGCACTAAGGCTCCTCTCCACTTTGTTTTTGGAAAGGAATTAAATTTTTGAGTGATTTTCTCTGACTTAAATTTTGATAAATTTTGCAGACAATGGAAGAAATGAGACAGAAGCTTCTATACACTAGTCTTGAACTTGAAAAACTGAAAATGGAAGCAAGTGAAGAAAAGAGGAAGAACAATGAATATGTGAAGCAATTAATCCAACTCATAAAGATGGCTTATCAAGAAAGAGATGAAGCAAGAGATCAACTTCAGAAACTAGTCAACAAAATCAATCAGGCTGATTTGCTCAATAACCATTCTCAAATCCAAGTTGATAGTTCAGTAATTAAGCCCACGAAAGCGAATTCAAGCACTATTGAATCGAATAGTCTCACTGAAACATACAATTACCAATCACAGAATTCTTCCCCCGTCGAGTCCTTTTTGGATGCTGTTACATCTCCTGAACTTTCCAACATCAATGTGGCTGATTCAAATGCAATGCCATTTGTTTCATACACTGTTGTACCTCAAGAAATGGCAAAAGTTGATCTTGATCCGGCCTCGTTGGTTATTGAGAGTCTTGTTAAGGGAAAGACTTTGCCTCAGCAAGGGAAATTCCTTCAGGCTGTTCTTGAATCAGGGCCACTTTTGCAAACATTACTTGTAGCTGGACCGCTTCCTAGATGGCGTAATCCGCCTCAGTTTCAGCCATTACATATTCCACCAGTTTCAATTAAAGGTTGTGAAGCTGGTATTGTCACACAGAATAATGCTGCAAATTCTAGTCAGCCTTACTTTGAGATGACTTGTGGATCATCTCAAATGTTGTCACCTTATTTAGGATATCAGAGATTGGTGTCTGCAGGTGAAAACTGTAATAGTTTTGTTCACCTGGACAAGAGACAAAGGTTGCAATGAGAGAAGTTGAAGCATGCCTATGCTTCTGATTTTTGTATAAATTCTGATTTTAATTGAAATAGCTATAATTTGATGAAATAGTTGAAGGAAAGATTAGTTTAAGTTTCTTTGTCAAATTTTCAGCTTTTCATTTATAGTGTTTCTAAAATTTTTTGCCTGAAAAACATCCTGGTGATTTCACAGAGAATGATAATTTGCAAAGAGTTTGCGCGACAGAATGTATCGACAAACTAAGGACATTTCTGACACAGACATCAGGTCCTATTGAAGCTATTGTAGCAGCTTCTGATTTTATTTTGTACCTTCTAACATCTCGAGTTTAGTATTCTCCTCAAATTTTTTCCCGATTTTTTGTTCGAGAACACTGGCCTCTTAGATTCTTTCCTTCGTTTTTCTTTTATTTTGGACATTCAGATGTTCATGCAAAATATAGGTCAGACAAGTGGTACACTGAACACCAACAAAAGACTCTGCAATGCTGAAAGCAATTCTTGTAATGCAGTCTTGTCATAAGTAACTAAAGGAAATAGGAGTAGCACAGTTCATTTTTAATAATATTCTTCATTTGAAAGAATCGAATGTCTTATACATAAAATCTTCACCAACCTTGTTTGTTTGTATGTGTCCCTTAAATATAATCGTACGCCTCATCTCAAAAAGTTAGCTTACATTTTTGCAACAGAAAATTTTTCTTTAAATCATTTTCAATATCAAAAAATCCAATCAGCATAACATGCCTTCTAGTCGAAACTCCTCTCCGCACTTTGTAACTTCACCTAGGGATCTACTGGTTATTTCAACATACTACAAAGAAACTGCTGTGTGTTAGATCATTACCTTCCTCAAAGACATCATCCAAATGAGGAAATTTCTCAAGATCTAGTTGTAGACTTCCAAAGCTGCGGACTTGACTCTGTATATTATGCATTCACTACCAATAAATCAGTTAAAAAAGAATGATGAGCAAACCAGAGGGAATAATACTACAGATTGTGCAAATTGCTTAGGTGAATTTGAAGAAGGTGAATGGCTGAAACATTTGCCTAATTGCCCTCATGCATTTCATGTTTCCTGCATTGATACTTGGTTTCAGATTCATTCCAGCTGCCCACTATGCAGATCAAATGCATAGAGTTCCAAAATGCAACAAGGGCATTCCATTTCTATGAACACATTATTGGTAACTCTAAGAAGGGAAGGTTTCCATCATGAAAGATGAGCAGACTACCGGGACATCAGGTCACATACACTACATAATCCTTCTCTTGGCAATGGCAGGTCTAGAATTCAGATATTGTTGTTTCTAAGTTGAGAGATTGGGACAAACTCTGGGACAGCTTAAAAGAAAATATTTTAGCGGAGTTTGCATACAACAATAGCTATCAATAGAGCATCTATAAGTGCTCCGTATGAGGCCTTATATAGGAGGCAATGTCATTCCCGGTTGGTTGGCTTGAGCCTAGCGAGGCTAGGTTATTAGGCACAAATTTTGTTCGCGGTGCTTTGGAGAAGGTGAAACTGATTCAGGAGCGGCTTCGTACAACACAGTCCAGGCAAAAGAGTTATGCTAATAGAAAGGTTCATGATGTGGCTTTCATGGAGAGTGAGAAGTTCTTCGAGTTTGGGCGTAATGAGGTTTCGGAAGAAGGGCAAGTTGAGCCCTCGGTATATTGGTCCATTTGAGGTGTTAGAGAGAATAGGTAAGGTGGCCTACAGACTTGCTTTACCACCCAGCTTATTGAGAGTTCATTCGGTAGTCCATGTTTCCATGCTTCAGTAGTACTATGAGGACCAGTAACATGTGTTGGATTTCAGTTCAGTGCAGTTGAATGAGAATCTGGATTTGAGGAAGAGCCGGTGGCTATTTTGGATCGATAGATTAAGAAGCTGAGGTCTAAAGATATTGCATCAGTGAAGGTCCAGTGGAGGGGTCAGCCAGTCGAGGAGGCAACTTGAGAGACCGAGCATGATATGTGGAGCAGATATCATCACCTTTTTGGCACTCCAGGTATGATTCTAAACTCGTTCGAGGACAAACGTTTGCATAAAAGGGGGGAGGATGTGACGACCCGGCTGGTCGTTTTGTGTATTTGAGCCATATTTTCCTATTTGATGCTTCTATTCTTGTTTGTTCTGTTGTGACTTGCAGAGAAGGTTAGTTTAGTTTCGAGAAGGTTTTAGAGTGAATTGGAACACTTAGTTCCATGGTTGCAAGCTTAAATTATAAGAGTTGACCAAGGTTTGACTTTCGAGTAGATGATCACGGATTGGTATTTTGTTGGTTCCAATAGGCTCGTATAGTAATTTTGGACTTAGGCGTATGTCAGGAGTTAGATTTGGAGGTTCCTAGGATTGGTTCTAATTGTCGAAAGTTGGAAGTTTGAAGGTTTGGAAGGTTCATAGGTTTGACCGGGAGTTGACTTTGATGTTATCGAGTTCGGATATTATTCAGAGACTTGGAATAGGTTCGTTATGTCATTTAGGACTCGTGCACAAAGTTTGTTTGCATTCCTAGTTGGTTTGATAGGAATCGAATGCTTAGTTGAAGCTTAGAATCTTATGAACTTAAGAGAAGTTCAATTCGTGCTTTGATCGTCGATTCGTAGATGTGATGATCTCATATGTGTTTGGAGGCTTTGGATAGGTCGGATAGTGTTTACGGACTTGTTAGTATGATTGGAAGGGGTGTTGGGTGGCTCAGGTGAGTTTCGGACCATCAAAGCTTGGTTGAGATTGCTGATAACTATTGTGTCTGGTGTGCTTCGCGAACGCGGAGTAGGTCACGCGATCGTGGAGGTTTATTTAGGGTCAGGGTGTTTTGTTCTTCCCGTTCGCGGATGGCTTGTTGCGTTCATGAAGGTATGTGGTCAGTGGCCTTCGCGTTCGCACTTTTGGGTTCGCCTTCGCATAGAGAAAAAGGCCGCTGGAGTTGGTAGGAAGTTTGGCCTTCGCGATCGCGGGGAGGGGACTGCGTTCGCGGGATAGGGACCGCGTTCGTGAAGAGTCTTTTGGGCAGTGTCTGGATTGTGCTCTGCGAACGCGAGGCAGTGGTTGCGTTCGCAAATGGTATTGCTGGGCAGACATTTAAGTGTTGTATTTTCGGGACTTAGACCCATTATTTCATATTTTGAGTCCTAGACTTGGAGAGATTTTGAAGAGAATTTTCACACAAGGCAAGAGAGTAAGTGATTTCTACTTAATTTTGATATTATATCTTATTTCCCCATGGATTATTACACATAGACTATTTGATTTAAAAGAGAAAATTGGGGGTTTTGCCTATGGCTTTGGAGAGTAAAAATTGGGAATTTGGGATCCAATTTGAAGTCGGATTTGGATGCAACTTGTATATTTTGACTCGTATTAGAATGGATAACCAGGATTTGTGACTTTTGTCGGGTTCCGGGAAGCGAGCCTCGGTTGAATTTTTAGTTGACTTAGCATAATTGATAAAGGTTGGAGATTTAATATTTGGAATCGATTCCTATAGCCTTGTTTGACGTCATTGAGTTGTTTTTGGCTAGGTTTGACCTGTTCGGAGGCCGATTCGAGAGGCAAAGACTTTCTAGAGTATTGATTCACACGCTTTGAGGTAAGTAACTCGTCTAAAATTGATTTGAGGGTAATTTCCTGTTGGTTATAGTATCTGATACATGTTGGGGGTGACACATATGCTAGCTAACGAGCGCATATGCGTACACCGAGGTTTTATTCGTGATTCGGGTAGACCTAGGGCTGGGCATATATCGGGTATAACCGATAGCCCGAACCAATAAATTCTATTGGTTTATCGGTATTCGGTTATTGGATAAATAGTTCGATAACGATTTAATGTTATTTGACTAATGGGTTATCGGTTCGGGTCTCGTTTGCCCAATTTATTAACGATTTAACCGATAGCCCAATAAGTTTTAACAAAATTATAATTTTACCCACTAAATATATAAAACCACCTTATGGCTTCATTCTCTCACTCTCGCAATTCTCTCGGTAGTTACTCTTCATATTCTGACCTTAATCTTTAGAGTAAGTTTTAACTTTTGTGAATTTCTCATTTTAATAGTTTTAAACTTTAAAGAATTAATTGTTCAGATTTTTAGTTTTTCTATTTGTTTCTTTGTTGCACTGATTCTTTGGTATTTACAAGATTAGGATTTTATTATTTTCCTGTGAATTATGCCCGCTCGCAGTGAAATAGTTAGTAAGATTAGATTGTTGAATGTCTTATCCCTTACTCCTATTAACTTATAACTTTGAAAATTGAGATCATTCATTGGGATTTTCAAATGCAAAGAAAGTTTTATTTTCTAAGTTGAAATTTAATCCCTCTTATCTTAAGAGTAAAAATTCAATTCTTTTCTCTTAATAATTCGATCACGATTTCTATAATAAAAACATGAATTTTTTGGATAGTTTTTATTCTTATTAGGTAAACCAATAACCGAACCGATAAGGATCGATAACCGACTAACCGATACCCGATAACCGATATCTTATTGGTTCCGTTATCGGTTTAGTATATTTATAAACCTATAACCGATATGACGAACCAATAACATTCACAACCAAACCGAACCGACCGATGCCCACCACTAGGTAGACCTTAGGCTATTATGTGCCTTATTTTGCTATCATGCCCCGTTATTTATGTGTTGTCTTCAGTTGCATGACTACGTGAGGTATTATTCATGTTAGAAATAATTTCTAGGATATGTGCTTATCTGTTTGAGACACGATATGGCTATTCTTACTATATTGAGATGTTTTTGCCTTAATTGTAGTCATATTCTCAGTTATGATGTTATATTCACATAATATATTTCTGTCTCTATGCATTCTTTATACGTTATCTCACATGTTGTTGATGCCCTTATATTTATGACACGATTTGAATTGAGACTGTGAGATGTGAGCATTTGAGACTTGAGTGGTTGAAGACTGATCTTGGGCCATAAAGTCAATTTGATTTTGGTACTGAGGTGACGCGTATGCTAGGCCTTATATTGGACTGAGTGGTATTGATTATGAGGTGGCGCGTGCGCCAGGCCCCATATTGGGCTAAGTGATATTGATCGTTGAATTAGATGCGATCAGCGCTTGGGTTAGGACCAGCCCCTCCGGAGTCA